TTTTTTTTTTTTTTTTTTTTTTTTTTTTTTGGTACCAAGGATTGAACTCAAGTCCTTGAGCTTGAGAGGCAGGTAGTATCACCACCGAGCTAAATCCCCAGCCCATGTCTTCTTATTTCTTAGAATCTATGGGTCTCCTCCCAAGACTGAGGCTGTCAGATGGGACTCGGTGGGACAGGATATGAGCATGTGGGGACATGGGCCATTCCCTGAGAGACAGGTGAGAGAGGGCAGCCCAGGATTGCTCTGAGCAGCCGGAGGACCATGGCACCCTAAGCCCCTGAAGGAGGGGTCAAGCAGGAGGAAGGCCAGGGGCTAAGAGGACAGGAAGTGGCCCCAGAAACAAAGACTCCCCGATGGACATTCCCAGCAATAGGCAATGGTGGGGATTACCTGGAGGTAGAGACTAGCGCTGTCCTTTCTGTCGAGACTGGGCATGATGAGTGGCAGAGAGAACACGCTGGAGACGCCTACGCTGACCAGGTCCAGTATCTCAGATAAGTGGAACGGTGGATTCACCTGGCTGGGGGAAGGAAAAGGCTTTGGGTCATGTCGCCGGGACCCTCTGGGGAAGCCTGCTCTGATACTCTTTCTGAGGTACAGGAAACAGTGGGTCCCTTGGCAATGGCCCCTTGGCAGGGCAGGGAGCCTTGGTTGTCAGGGAGGCTTCTCTACCCCAGCCCTGTGTAGTGAAATTGGAGAACAGCCCCACCATCCCTGGATACAGACAAATGAAGCGGCAGTGATGGAGCTCTGCCACCACAGCCCAAAACTCAAGTTCCAAGCCATGTCCTTCCTCTCAGCATCAGAACCTCAGGGGCTATGAAAGGGTCACAGGAAGAAAGGAACCTGAGAGCCACGATGCAGAGCATGGCCTGCTGACGCACGCTGCTGTCCAAGATCTCGGTGGATTCTTCCAGGATCAATGTCTAGAAGGAACAGGAAAGATTGAGAATGCCCCTCAGAGAGCCCCTCCCCTGTGGGTCTATCTGGGACTTTCACCCTTGTCCCTGGATGACCCATTCCCAGAAGAACTTGGGTCTTTCTCACCTCAATTTTCTTGGCCAGGATGGCTTTGGGATAATAATTGTTCATGTTGCCATTTCCCTCAGCACGCACAGCACCACTCAGGATTTCCACAGCCCTGAGGAAATTCTGCTTGTCTACTGTGGACTAGATCAGAAGACAGAGAGTCCTGCCTATGAATTCGATCCAACCCTTCCTTTACAACTGAGCGGTACTAGAGACCTGTACCCCACACTCTGTCCCTCACACCCAGCCCAGAATCAATCTTTTTTTTTTTTCCTCATTGAGTTTATTGGTACATTTTAGGTATACAGTACAGTCACGTTCATTATTGAGATCTTGTACCTTTACATGACAGGTCTTGGTTCTCATTTTTCCCCTTGTTCCTGCCCTCCCTTCACCCCTCCTCCCCTTACCCTTTACAAACACTTCATTTCCATTTTTCATTTTCTTATATTTTTTTCTTTTCCCTTATTAGCTTTCCCCTACCCTTCCCACTTTCCTACAGCCTAATGGACAACATGAAACAGAATCAGTCTTAATAAAAAGGGCTTAAGGGCCGGGGATTTAGCTCAGTGGTGCCGCTGCCTGCCTCTCAAACTCAAGGACCCGAGTTCAAATCCTGATGCCAAAAAGGGGGGAGGGGCTTAAGATGTAGCTCAGTGGTAGAGCATTTGCCTAACATGCACAGCTGCTTTCCTTAGCATTGCCCCAGTGCCCTCGGTGGGTGCTCACCAATGTCATGGGCCCCTCTGTTGTTCACTAGGGACAGCAGGAGTAGGGGTAGATGAGGAAGATCCTTCATATAGCTGTGAGACCTGAGCCCCAGCCACTCTCTAGATTTCCCGGATCAAGAGGCAGCACAGGGTGGAATTTCAGGTGGTTTCCACACCAGGGCTAGTCCTCCAATCCTAAAGAAGCATGGATGCTTATTGTTTTTTTTCCTTCTCGTTCTCAAAAAGTTCCTGGGAATTTCCTTACCATCTGTTCTTGTCCTATGAACTCCACAATTAACTGATAGGCTTCTCTCTCTGATTGGCGCAAGCCTGGAAAGAGATGTCACAGGGAGGAGCTTAGCTAATTCTATCAGATGAGCAAGGGAGGCAAAGCCATCCTCGCCCCTGTCCTCCACTAAGATGGCTCTGAAACCCCAGGGTTCAGGTGCGGGTGTCTGGGTCCCCAGGTCCAGCTTCTTCAGGTATGGCCACTCGCGCTACCACTCTGTGAACTTCAGAAGCCGGAGCGGAAGGCCTTCAGGTGGGGACTTGACTAAAGGAATTTCTGCACCAGACCAGATGCGGCCAGGGACCAAAAAACAACTGGGGAAAGAGAAAGCGTATGCCATTCCCTGCGGAGCTGATTGATGGTGTGGTCACAGACTAACTTTAAAATTTCTGGTACTGAATGGACTTGAGACTCTAAGTCAGCCCTGGAGCCTCCCTTGTCGGCAGGGGTGGGTGTGGGGGGACAGGGAGTGAGGGGTGGTGGTGGCATAGCCATTGGGTGTCTCTGCAGCCACAAGCGAAAGGGAAGAGCCTGTCCACGCCTGTAGTCAAGAGGAGACACAGCAAGAGAATGAAATGGGGGCAGCACTGTGACTCAAGCAACATAGGCAATGGCCCGAGTTCAGGCAGCTGCTGCCCTGCGTGTTGCCTTGCATACACAGCGCTCCCAGGGCAGGGCTTCAAGCTGAAGCGCAAAGGTTAAGCACAACCGTCCTGGTACCCAACTGCTCTGTGTCAAAGCTCAGCTCTTCTACTTCATTAGCCCTGCAACCGCCAGCAAGTTCAACACTGTCGACTTTAGTTTCTACATCTGCGCAGTGGGGAAGATGCCACCATCCATGGTGAAGTTTAATGATCATGGAAGGGGTGACCTTGAGCAAATGAAATTCTCCCAAGGAGGACCAACTGGGAGACTACGACAGTAATCCAGGGCAGGGAAGGTAGTCAATAGGAAGTGGGCAGTCTATACCTATTCTGAAGATCAGTAGGAAGAGCTGATGAACTAGATGTGATTATCAGATGGCAGTCAGGTATAATGGTGCATGCCTGCAGTCCCAGCTACATAGCAGGAGGAGGCAGGAGGATCCTAAGTTTGAAGCTAGCCTGGGCAACTTACAAAGCTCCTGTCTCAAGATAAAAAGGGCTTAAAGTGTAGCTCAGTGGCAAAGCATTTGCCTAACATGCACAAGGCCCTGGGTTTAATTCCCAGTAGCGGGTGGGGGATGGGCCAAAAAATGCCTGGGTGTGGTGACGCACACTGGAAGCTGAAGCAGGATAGCAAGTTCAAGCCCAGTGTGGGCCACAGAGTGACTTAATGACATCCTGTCTCAATATTTAAAACAAAAACAAAACAAAACAAAACAAAAAGACTGGGGACACAGTGCAATGGTCTTGTGATCAATCCCTAGAACCAAACACAAGTCAAGACTTGTGGGCTGAAAAATTTTTAAATGATTGAGTTGCCATCTACTGCCTGCAGCTGGTAGTAAAAACAAGGCTTCCATTTAGAATGTGCTAACTTTGAGGTGTCTGCTGGGCCCCCAGGTGCTGACCGCAATAGGCAGCTGGATGTTAAGAGCCTGGAATTCAGGGACTGTGGATCCGGATGACAGATCTCATTCGGGGACTGCTCGCAGACCCGTGCTCATCCCACAACTTCTCAGGCTAGGGCCAGGCCAGCAGCACCACTTCCAAGCTGCTGCCCTGAGTTGAGAACAGCCCTGTCCAGGCCCAATTGCTCACCCCTTAAATTTGGATTCCGAAAGTCATGATAGGTTGGCAGCTGAAAGGTTACTGTGTCTGGTTTTTGCCTGTGAGGATGTGGCTTCATCTGTGGACGTAGGGCAGGAGCCTGGAGCTTGTGAGGAGAACAGCAACCAGACCTGGTGGGACAGAGCCTCTCTGGGGATGTTGCTTCTGTCTTCGAAGGTGAAACTGCAGGAGGTGGCCCTGGCCATTTACAAGAAAAGGCTGTCAGCTTCACACCATCCCCTGGGGAAGACACAGGCGGTGGACCTGTCCAGGAGTCTCCCATTCGGAAATCTCCCTGAGTGGGAGGTCTGGCTCTGGCAGGCTCCATCCCTCTGCCTCTGGGAGTCTGGAGCTAAAGTCCTGAAGCCCTCTTCCCAGAGGCTTGTGTCTCCACCCCCAATTCGTGATCCTACTTCTGCCCTATGGCAGGGGAGCCTGGAGCCCCCACATCTGCACCTCTCAGGCCCAGCCCAGGGAAACCTGCTGGTGGACCAGGAAGAGACTGCTGTCCAATCGGGTCCCCACACTGGCACATCCAGAGGCCACTATACTCTCAAGACCTTTAATGTGGGGCCCTGTCCTCTTTCTGCCTCTCCCTCTTAGCTGATCTGTGTACTATTGCTGGGAGAGGAGTCCTCAGACAGGTCATCCCTTGGGAATTTGCCCGTACTCCATCAGGATTTCCCTGGCTCTAACCCACCATAATTGTCTAAAATACAAAATCAAGGACTGGGGGAGGGTGTGGTCAGTGATATAGTGCTTGCTTAGTATGTGTGAGGGCCCCAGACTCACCACAATCCAGTCAAGTTGAAGATGTCTAGGTCTGTCATGAAGATTCCTGTAGCTCCGGAGACCTCGGAGCTATCTCCCTTCCCAGCCCACCAAGGCCCAGCCTAGAGTGCCCTGAGGCCTATGGGAGCCAGGCTCCTGAGGCCCACAGATTTCGGCAGTCCTCAGGGCCAAACACACAGGGCAGGGCTGGAGTCACTCCTGCAAGGTTTTATCCATCCAGACCATTCCCTTACCCCCTCCTTGGCAGTGGAGGGCAACAGGCAGACAGGGACCCTTTTACCTGACAAACCGGGCACCTCAGATCCAGGCCGGAGTCTCTTGGCACTGTGGCGCTAGGGGGCGCTGTGGCGCCCGGCGCTGAGCGCCCCCTACCGGGAAACTAGAGAAATGGTCCCAGTTGGTGCTCCGCCCCCCCACCCTAACCCCGTGGTCCACTGGTTGAGGGAACTGGAAGGCGCCTTTTGAGAAGTCCCTCCTCACTCTCCAAGGAAGGTCTGTCTTCCAGCCATGGAGAAGGGGTTGTTTTTCATGAGCCTCCACTCCAGGTAGCCAAGAGCTCCAGAAAGAGCTTGGAAGAGCTGGAGCCACTTAGGCATGCCTCTCCTAACCACTGCCTAACAGCCCCAGCTGAAGCCAGGGCCAGAAAATGCCACAAAGCCCTGTCCTTCGGGAAGTGACTCGCAGAGCCCAGCTCCAGGGGCCCTTCAGTGTTGCCTTCCCTCCGGTCAGGGAAGCAGTGTGAGCGCCTCTTTAAACCACCCCGCCCATCCCATCTGCACCTGGGGACCTGGGCAGACCAGCTGGAGAGGTCAGGCAACTTGGCTACTTTGGGCGGACACCCTGCGGGACCGGGCACAGACTCTGTTCTGAAGACTTGGCACAAAACACCCTTCATGCTGAGCTGGGCCAATCACAAAGAACAGACTTTATTGAAGTGTTTGGCACTAAGACCCAAGTTCCAGCCCTACAGCTGAAGACAGGGACACTTTCAACTGTGTCATGTCTTCTGTAGGACGAATAAGTTAATATTAAGGACACTCGGGCCCAGAAGCTTGAGCCTCCATGGAAGGCACTGGGGCTGGGGCAGTGAACACAGGGGAGAGGTACCTAGTAGCAAAGCACAGTAGCAGGTCAAACATATGGACAAGAGGGTCCCATATGGGGATTACCATAAGATGTGGGAAGGGCAGCAAGAAATGCCAGTGCCATCTCCTGGGGCTCCACTCTCCTCCCCAACTCCTGTATACCATTCACCCCGATTCTTCCCTCAGCAGCCTCTGCAAGCAGCTATGCCACTGTGTCCCTGGGGGAAATGGCACCTCTGGCTGGGCATCACAGTTCTTAGAGCCTTCCACTACATTTGCTGTCAGTTCCAGTCCAGGGAACTCACAGGATAAGAGCCCTCCATGGGCAAAGATGGAGTCAGCACTCGCTACACCACCTGTTGCTTCCTCCTTGAAGCAAGACACTACCTGGGCATCTGACCTGGCAGCAAGGGAGGGCCTAGGATGAGAATCCAGGGGTTATAAGTTGCCTTAGCCCTTCCAGGAGGCTGGGTCATGTTGTGAATGCCCTCTAGGACACCCCAGCATCTTGTCAGCACTGAGGAGGAAGGATGCCCATGTGTGCACAAATGACTGCTCAGAGCTGAAGTGTGGCTGGATGGGGAACAAGAGCAACAACTCTCATTGTCCTCAAACACCTGCCCTCAATGTGCCACCAAAGAGATGCTTTTCCAAAAATATTTGTACAGTGCTGGTTTTTAGGACCATAATGAAAGGAGCAGTAGGCCACCCAGCCCTCATGAGGCCCAGCAGTGCTGGTCCAATGCCAAGCTGCTCCCCATCAGCCAACAGCACAGGCCAGACCCAGTCCAGGACCTTGAAGCCAAGAGTTGGTGTTCCACTGGCCTGGGAGCCCAAGGGCATAAAGAGGAGACAGTGACTGACACCCCTGGGTCCAGGAAGATACGACTCCAGCAGGATGTACTGACCTTTAACCGCCACATGTGTGCATCACAGAGCACATTACAGTACAGAGCGGGAAGGAGCAGCTCCCACAGCCTGTGGTACCCAGAGACCAGGGAAATGGGGGAGAAACCCACACATGTATGTGGGCCATTTCCAGCCTCCACAGTGCCAGGGTTGTTCTTTCTCAGAAATGGAGCAAAGTGTTTCAGAAACCCTGAGGTGACCCTCTCTGACACTGACAGGCCTCTGCTGCCTAAGGAGACAGATGTAGTAATCAGACAGGTAAGGCCTTAAGTCCAAGAGTTCAGACTCTGGGAATAAAGTGTAATCATATTATAGGGAGCTTGAGGACAAATCACAGATATAGATCCTCAGATCAGGACATCTGAAAAAATTTGTAAAAAAAAAAAAAAACTCCAAAAACCAAGAAAGGTCTCAGCTCCAGATCATCGGCCTGCGATGGCATTGGGGAAGCTGAAGGAGGCACTTAGGGTGAGGGGCTCAGCCCTGGTCCTGCTGTGAAACAGTCTTTTCCAGTAGTGGCTGAGGCACTTGGAACATGAAGTTACACCTGGCTGATGATCTCTCCGTTCTCGGGGACAAAGACTTGCACAGGGGCCCCGTCGGGTGATCTCCGAAGCACACACACGGTGGGCATCTGCCAGGGTCAGGAAGAAAGAAGTGGGTGAGCGAATAAGGTAGGACCACCAGGATCGCAGGCCCAGTCACTCACGGTGACCTCTGACCAACAGACCAGCAGCAGCAAGGCCTTGTTGCTGAGCTCCTGCCTCCCGTGAGGCTGTATTCCCCAGGGTTCATCCCCTAAACATCTGCCACTCAGGTTCCTTTGGGGTGTGACAGGCACCCTGACCTCCTTCTCCCCACCTTTCCTAGGCTCCCATCTCATCATCCTCCCTGTCTGGCAGGTTGGGATGGGCCAGGCCCAGGCCAAGGACAGGTCCAAGCTCGCAGGAAGGGAAAGCACGTCAGCTGGAGGGTGCGGCCTGGGCCTGTGCCAGGGAGCTGCCCAGCCCAGGATGGCAGCTGCAGCCTGAAGAACTGGTGTGTGTGTTCCCACAGGGGTGGGCATTGGGGCCCATGCAGCTGGGCTGCTGGGAATCTGGGGTCTCAAAGAAGCAGCCTGTTGGTAACTTCTGGAGCACAGTGAGTACCAGGGAGGAGCACAAAGAAATGATTTATAAGTTCTCTCCCCACTTCGAGGATGAAGAATGAGGTCACAAGGCTGTGCTCTTCAGTGTCAGGGAGCTCTGACCTACATACTCCCCACCGACCTGGCCTCTGGGGATCTGGATGACACTGTCACTTACTGACTGCTCACCATGCACCGCTCCGATCATTTAGCCTCTTAACCACCGCGTGAAACTTTACTACTCACACCTTACAGAGGCAGACAGAAGCCCAGAGGAGTTAAGCAACACGGCTTGTAAGCAGTACTGGGATTCCAACCTAGTCATCTGGCTTGAGGGTCTGTGCTCCTAATTGTGATGTTGCCTGTGTTTCAGCTTGGTGCCGTGAGGGGCATCAGGAAGGAACACAACAGACAGGCGATCACAGGTTCTGATTTCCGAAAACCGATTTCCAGATTCTCCCTTTATCCCAGGCCCTCAAGCCAGGAAATTCCAAGGGTTAATTTGGGTAGGACTTGTGATGATGAAGAAGCTTATCTGTCTTAGGGATCGTTGTGAAGTCCCTGGGGGAGCTGTCATCTGCACCATGGCACACAGGCTCTTCATCTAGACATGGCAGGCAAAATTAAGGGGCGCCCCAGGGAAATCAAAGGTGCCTTCCAAAACCAAGAGGAAATGTTTTTCTGGCCTGATGTTCCTAGCTGGGGGGTCATCTGGCCACTAGGTTGCTAGGTCCATGTCTCTCTGCTCTTGGATTTCCAGGACAGCAGCCTTGCTTGCTCTGGCGTGCCTCCTGCCGTGCCTCAGGGGCCCTCCCGGGCTGCTCACCTGCGCGCGGGGCCCCGGGGGTCGCCCAAAGCCCTCTCT